CTGAACCAATAAGAAGAAAAGTTTCATTATTCCTTCATTATTTATGCCTTTAAAAAGTTATTTATTTGTATACATTTATGGGGAACATGTGCAATTTTGTTATAAACATGGGTTGCATAGTAGTTAGTAAGGGCTTTTAGGGTATCCAGCACCTGAATAATGTACATTATATGCATTAACTAGTTCATCAACATGCTCCTCCTATTTATGCTTTTAGTAAAAGTCTGACAATGTGCTAAGCATGTGCTGGGTATTGGAGAAACAGATGAATAAGCACACTGTTTCTGCTCACAGTCCATGGAAGGAAGAGGCTGAGAAACAAGATGCTGTGGTATAAAGTAGTGAGGAAGACTGTTGATGTTTTTAGAGCATAAGGGAGAGCCAGGGGAGGGGCAGCAAGAGGAGAGAGGTGATACAGAGCTGGAGGCTTCATTAATCTTTCAGATGGTCAAAGTCAGGAAAGTGGGGCCATTCACCCAGAGGACACTGTACAGCGGAGCGAGAAGAGAGCCGAGGAGGAGGTTGATGCATCTGGTATGCACCTCGTGCCCATCTTGGCACAGTAGCAGCACAGAGTAACTGAATGAGAAAAATGAAGTCTCTTCAATATGAAGGTTTCATTTCTGACAAGAATCTTCCTTTTAAAGAAAAACGTTAAATTTTAAATCAGTAGACATGGTAAGTTATTGTTCCTAATTCTTCATCTCCTTTCCCTTATGGAATTGTACAACCGTGCTTTTTTAACCTTGTGATCGAGTTTCTCTTCTAGAGTGAGCAGGATCTATTTCTTATCCCCACTAAAACTGGGCATGGCCATGTAATTTGCCGGACCTGATAGCATGCTAGAGGATGTGACATGAGCAAAGGCTTTATATTCATTTCCATATTTGGCTTTTCTTCTTTGGCTTTTTTGATTCCTCATGAGAGAGAATACCCCAGGTGCAGCTACACTTTCAACCTGGACCCCAGAACGAGTGGCCTAAAGCTGGCTAGAACCTTGGAGTCCAGCTTTTCTTAGCTCTGCCCAGCTTAGATCAGCTCAAGCCCAGTCAACCTACTCACATGTGAGCATGAAATTAGTAGTTACTGTAGCACAGAGATTGTCATTTGTTGCAAAGCAAAAACTGAATGCCATAGCATATATAATCTGGAAGATCACGCTTGGCTTTTATTCAAATTAGCCTTTGTTTGTTTTTCAATAGATAAATGTTTATTTCATTCTTATTGAGAATTGGATATGACTATCTTCAGGCAATCTACTTCTCGGCATCAAGAATGCTCCTGACAGTGCAGGAAATTAACTCAGGCTGGTAGGGCTGGTAGAGTGAGAGAGAACTACCAGCCAACCAACCAACCAACCACTCCCCTACTCTTTTAAGATCGTATAGGTGAGGGAATGGGAATGACCGAGAGGTTAGGCAAAGTCTCTTCATTTGATTAATTTTAATTAGATAGCTTAGCAACAATTTTATTTAATACTCATATTCTTGAAAAACATCAATAAATCCAAAATTATAATTTAGAAAAATTTGTAACGTAATTTAGAGAGTTTCAAAAAGACTATACTACTACATTTGGGAGAAGAGTTTTTAAGATTATAGAGAAAATAGTTCTCTGAAATAGTTATTTTTTAATTCAAAATAGCAAACTTTAAGAAAAATTACTTTTCATAAGTAAGTATTATTAATATAATTATTCTAGTACAGTCGCACATGTCTTAAGTCAGTATTGACTATTCCCAGGAAACAGGAAGTAGTAGCATTCTTTCTACTGTCACATCCTACGACAAAAGAAACATTAAAAATGTCAGAAAGTAGTAGTTCATAGTATGCTTAATTAATCTTTAAAAATGATAAGTATGTGAAGCGCTAGATATATTAGTTTAATTCGATCATTTCACAATGTATACATACATCAAAACATCACATTGTACACCCTAACTACATATAATTTTTGTTTAAGAAGTTTACTTTAATAAAGATGAAAGAGGGCCAGGGGTGGTGGCTCATGCCTGTAATTACAGCACTTTGGGAGGCCAAGATGGGCTGATCACCTGAGGTCAGGAGTAGAAGACCAGCCTGGCCAACATGGTGAAACCCTGTCTCTACTAAAAATACAAAAGCTAGCCAGGCATGATGGCACACAAATGTGATCCCAGCTACTTTGGAGGCTGAGGCAGGAGAATCGCATGAACCCAGGAGGCGGAGGTTTCAGTGAGCCGAGATCATGTCACTGTACTCCAGCCTGGGTGATAGAGCGAGACTCCATCTCAAATAAATAAATAAATAGATAGATAGATAGATAAATAAATAAATAATGCTGACAGTGGGGGAGGACTGTATCATGTTAAACCTTGATTTAATGAAGTTAATTCATTTACTACATAAACGTTTCTCGTTGACAGAACTTTTCCAAATAGTCTCCTAAGACAAGCCAAAGCCTATCTTTTTCAACTACGGATGGGAATTTCCTTTGTGTATGGACTATCCTATAGCTCAGTTGAATTCTTGCTCAGAAAGTTTTGTGAAATGGAAGAACCATGACAGTAATGCCAACCAAAATTTTTGTTCATAGAGCTTAAGATAAAACCAACTATTCATTCAAATTCTACTAAAAATGATCCTAAATAAACATATATGTATACATGATTCAAAGCTTGACATAGCTCAACTCGGGTTTAGCTCATCCAATGTTTGGAGACACATGAAAGGTAAGAGAGTTTCTTAATGTGATTTTAAACTCTATGTGGGAACAGAATAGCATAGTAGTTTTTAAAAAAAGGGCTTCTGGAGTAAGTTTGCCTCCATTTTATCCCTAACTTCCCCTCTTTTTAGCTGAGTGGTCATTTTTAGACTTATTGGGACTTTATTTTTATGTCTGCTAGGTAGAGATAGTAATACCGGCCTGGTGCAGTGGCTCATGCCTGTGATCCCAGCACTTAGGGAGGCTGAGGCGGGTAGGTCACGAAGTCAGGAGATGGAGACCATCCTGGCCAACATGGTGAAACTCCGTCTCGACTAACATATAAAAAAACTAGCTGGGCATGGTGGAACCTGCCTGTAGTCCCAGCTACTTGGGAGGCTGAAGCCGGACAATCACTTGATCCTGGGAGGCGGAGGTTGCAGTGAACCAAGATAGCACCACTGCACTTCAGCCTGGTGACAGAGTGATACTCCATCTCAAAAAAAAATACTACTAATAATACCTCCTGCACCAAAGTGTTGTTGAGAATGTTAAATGAGGTAATAAATGCAAAGTACTTAAAACAGTGCCTGTCACATAGGAAATAATAAATGTCAACTAATGCATTTGCATGACAAATGACTAAAAGCTGAAAGACAGATGGAATATATCTAAAATGTTGTTCCAGTTTAGTTTCTGTTCTTACTTGTAATGTATGTATATTTTATTCAGATTCCCTCCCTCTTAAATGAAAACCTTAGGTCCAGGTATGCTGGTAAATAGCCTACTTCAATTCCGGTCATGTTGTTTCCATTGAACTAGTTATTGGAATAATTGGAAAGTTTTGGTTTTCAGAGCATTTTGAAATTTGGAATTGCATATCAGCACTGGAGATCTGTACAGCATTTTGTGATTTCCGTTGGTTTGTTATTATCTTGAGTGAATTCAAACACATGGGCGTTATTTGTATAGGACATAGTGCCAAGTGGAAAGTACAGCCTTTCTTAGTTTTTTTTTATAATCCTAAGAACATCATGTATGGTAGAGACACTTGGTACTCACTGAATTTCCATGTGCTTCCTTGCACTTCCCAGCCTCCTTTGCCCTTGGTTTGGGGCAATAGACTGTGAGCAGAAGAGATGTGGCCAAGGCAGTTAAGACATGTGTGCCTCCTCCATTTCTCTCTTCCCCTGTTGTGGCAACTTTGGAAGACACGACTTGAGATGGAAGTGGCAGAAGATGAAGGGAACCTAGATATCCAACTCACTAAATGGAGAGCCTGGGAATCTGCAGAGGACTTGACTCATGTGAGAACTGTTTATGTTGTCACTAAGATTTTGAGTTTGTTGTAGCAGCCGCATCAGATACCGAGAATGACAAAACAATGGTCAGGTGAGAATGAGGTTAAGGCCATACGGTGATCCTTCTAATGATGATGACGAGTGAGAAAAATGAGCGTAACTTCTAACCCTAATAAAAGATAGGGTTGGATGTACTCGCTTCTCCATGGAATTGCATGTAAACTATGGTTCAATAGCGAAAATAATTTTAATAGGAGTTTTCATCTTTTATTTGGCTCTTTCGAAGATCATTAAATGAAATCTCACTTATCTTTTCCAACAGTTCTCAAAAGCTCCTTTTCTCTCCTTCTAAATTCTTACATGCCTTATACCAGTGGACTGTGAGGTGACATCCATCATGAAGATCATACCCCTCTGGTGGCTTTTTTGATGTTAAACAGAGGGGACAGTACCATGTTAGTCAGTTTCCCCAGCATACCTCATCAAATATTCACCTAGATATTTACTCTCCTCACTGCCCTTCATAGTCACCTGGAAGCCATATTGTCTTTGCTTATGTCACCTATACACATGCGTACACACACCTACATGCATGCTGATCTAGCTATGAATTATTTCATGACCTAAGTGGTGTAATGTATGTGCCTGCCTGTCTGCCTGTCTGTCTGTCTCTCTCTCTCTCTCTCTCTCTCTCTCTGTATCTGTCTATTATCTGATGTGATATATATCACACTGAGATATATAATGCAATAATTCAATAAAACTGCTACCTAGGACACATACATTTAAAACAACTTCTGGTCCCAATTAATGGCAAAAATACCCATATCTCTTCACAAGCAGTGAATCAAAGCATAGGTTAAACACTTTCAGTCCTTTATTCCATTGTAATCAATGAGAAAAAATGCATAAGGCTATATGTATGAGCCGTATGCACTTTGTGACAGAGTCTGGCTCTGTCAACCAGGCTGGAGTGCAGACAAGAGTCTGGCTCTGTCAACCAAGCATGATCTCGGCTCATTGCAACCTCCACTTCCCAGATTCCAGCAATCCTCCCACCTCAGCTTTCCAAGTAGCTGGGTGCTGTAAGTGAGTAGGCATGCCTTACCATGGCTGGCTAATTTTTGTATTTTTTGTAGAGATGGGGCTTTGCTGTGTTGCCCAGGCTGGTCTCGAACTCCTGAACTCAAGCAATCTACTCACCTCAGCCTCCCAAAGTGCTGGGATTACAGGCAAGAGTCATTACACCTAGCCAAGGCTATTATTAAAACCAGGAGAAAATGGATCTAGACTTCCTTCACCATTCAGGAGCATATGAAGAGAGTGTAAGTCAGAGGTGTCAGGAGACCCATCCATGTGCCCTCTCACCTTGAGCTCCTGACATCTGCTCCTGGATCCCATTAGTCGGTTCTTGTTCACATCTGTAGAGACAGTGCCAACTCACCACTCTTTTTCTCAGTTCCTGTTTCCGGGAAAAGAGTGGATAGCATTATCCATCCTGTGACATCCTTGTGTATTAAGTATTGAAGGGAGGCGAAATCACATATAACCTCACATAAAGATAGAGGCAAATTCCACATGCTTAAGAAGGAACATGACTTTCTTCATGGACAAACTAAATTTAAGACAGTGAAGGGCAGTGGGTGGACCTTAAAGAAGTTACGCTGTGTGAGATAAGCCAGATACAAAAGGATAAATATTGTATGATCCCTCTTCTGTGAAGTACTAGAAATTGTGGAATTCATGGAGACAGAAAGTGGAATATTGATGACCAGTGGCTGGGGGAAAGGAGGAATGGGAGCTATTGTTTAATAGCGGCAGAGTTTCAGGTTGGAAAGATAGAGAGGTTCTGAAGATGGATGCTGGTGATGGTTGCACAAAAGTGTGAAAGTGCTTAATGCCACTCAAGTGTATTAAAAATGGTTTAAATGGCAAATTTTGTATTATGTATGGTTTACCCCCACAAAAAGAGACAACGAAGGGCAGAACTAACCAATTTAAAATATAATAAAAATCCTGGAGTTGAAACAAGTTACTTCCCCTTAGTCACCAAAGTCCATGCTCTGGGATTGCAGAGGGGGTGCTTCATATCCTCTGTTGTGTCTAGGTGCGAATTACAGAGGTGACCCACGTACACTATTAGACAGGGATCAATGGAAAGACGGAGTGCTCTTCTCACTATTAAACATTGATACCAAAGAAGAAATTCCAACACAGACATATCCTTTTCCTTTGTTTATTTCCTATCTAAAGAAATTAGGAGGCCAAATGAGATGAGAAACATTTCATTGATAGGATATTAATCATTACGTAATAGAGACCATGAAAACAGCTCATCAAAATTCATTAATGTTTGATTAGTCCCAGTTTAGGGTAAGATTCTTTTGATTTTAAAAATAATGGTCTGCTGTTGTACTGCATAAAAATCACTGGGGGAATGTAATGCTTTAAGTAGTATAGTTTTCCCAGTTTAGGTTTATAGGTACTCTAGGAGTTGATTCTCATTATCTAGAGTGCCTTCTGCACGTCTGTCTGTAATGGGATTTTTCTCATTATTTAGGGTGCTTTCTGCACTTCTGTCTGTAATGGGATTTTTCCTGAGGTTCAGTGGATCATAGATTCTAGTATCAAAGAGTTACAAATCAGAAGTCTAGGCAGGAAAACTCAGTATTATCTTTTCTTGAAAAATGTGCTGGGCTCCAAAGTGGAAGGCTGTCAGAATAAAACTTAGCTGACTTTCCTAGCTTCTCTAGTATGTCAGTGGACAGTCATCTCCCCTCCTCGGTCCTGCTACTTTCCTCAGCTGGAATGTTTTCCAATGTCTATCTGCCTGTTTAAATTCTAACCATCCCTTAAGGCCTGTCGGAAACCCTGTCAGCTACATCCCCTTCCTCTGTAGCCCAGCCCTCCCGGGATGTTCTTGTATTTCTTGAATCACTCATTTAGATTTAGCATTCAATGAACTTGCACATTTGTTTTGTTATTTATTTATTTATGTAAGAAATATGTGTGGTAGCCAGTTTCCAAGGTGGCTCCCAATAATCACCACCTCCTGGTTTTCACACACTTGTGTAGTCCCTTCCATATTTTATCAGGGTTGGTCTGTGTAACCAACAGTATATAAGTAATGGTATGTCCCTTCTGATATTAGGTTATAAAAAGACTGTGGCTTCCATCTTGGGTGCGCTCTCTCTCTTCCCTACTCACCTTCTCTTAGATCACTCTTCCAGAGGAAAGTCAACTGCTGTATCAGGAGAGCAGTAAGACAAACTATTGATAGGTAAGGGGCTGAAGTCTCCCAGCCATCCAGGAAGGAACTGAAGCCCTTGTGATTGGGAGTGGAAGCAGGTTGAGCGTTTGAATGAGACTGCAGCTCCAGCCAATAGCTGCACTTCTGAGACATCTTGAGCCAGATTGACCCAGTTAAGCTGCTCCTCAATTCTTGGCCTATATGAAAGGTAATAAAAGTTGGTTATTTTAAGCTGCTAAGTTGGGATAATTTGTTATGTAGCATTAGATAACGACTACAGTACCTTATCTCTCCAGCTAGACTACAATTCTTGAAGAAGGATTTCTAGCTTCCAGTTGATTCTTCAGGATGTCTGTACATATCCATTGGATTGAAGAGAAAAGTAGATAGATGGATAGCTATTTTAATCTACCTCCTTGAACTTTTTCACAGATACCAACTATTCTGAACAGTGTTCTCTGTGAGGCGGGTAAAAGAAAACTGACAATACTAATCCTATTTCAACATGAGTGGAATCAGTTGAAGAAAATACTTTAAACATGGATCTAAAACTTGGCAGATGCTGGTGGCAAGGCCCTCAATTTAGAATATAATCCACTAATGTGGTTTTATTCAAATCCTTTCATTCCACTCACTTCCTGGAAGTCCTCTGGTGGCCCCTTCAGCGGCGGTGCTCTCTGGTTCTTTGCAGGCACCGTCCTCGTGCACCTGCTCTGAGGAGTTCTACTGCTCCAGGCTCCAACGCCCAGCTATCCTCAGGAGCACCACACCACACATTGAAAAACGCCTGACTGTGACCCATTTTATCCATCACTTCATTTTTATTTGTCACAGGCACTGTGGTATCAGATAAAGATCACATAACAAGGCTGTTACAAACGGAGAAGAACATAGCATAATACAGAAATGTTACAAACCAAAAACTGAAGAGTACTCTCTCTGCCTCTTTATCATCAATCACTTTGCTCCAAGGTGTTTTGGCAAGAGAGATGTTTTGGGACAAACAGTAACTGATATGAGAAACACGTGTTGATTTGCTGCATCTATGAGATATAACTAATAACAGATGGATGTTATTTATAAACTCTTACATGTTTATCCTAGTTCTTTTGAACTCCTTCCTATTCTGGGTCTATCAGCTGTTGCTATTTGGATAATTAATCACACAACAAAACTCAGTTTAAAATTTTGAAATGTACATTTCCTATAGGGTCTGCATATTAAATTTTCTTGTTTGTACTGTTGAATATTTTATGTGTTGCTTACAGCCTAAGGCATGCGTGCGTGTGCACGCATACACACACACACACAGACACACACACACACTGCATTGATTGGATAAGTTTTTAAAACTTCATTTAAGTTTTTCTTTATTATAGTCTTAAAAAAATACTCCCCACTCCTAATCTGACCATATCTGTTTCAGCAAAAATAGAACCAATCAAAGACTGTGGCCTGGATTATCATGCACAGCTTTTAAATTTATAAGTTGCTCAGAATTATTATTGAATGATTATTGATAATATGGTTTAAAAAAGAAAACTGTTGAATCAGTTAAGCTTAACTGGACCCAAGACAGCATTCCACTCCTAGTCTCTGTATAGAGGTCTAGAACATTTTTGTAACCAATAAGCAAATTGACTGTTAGAACAGAAGACCTGTACTATCCCGAAGAGGGAGTTGGTGAGAGGAAGGGAGACGGAGAAGGAGATAAAAGGTTTTGTTTTTATGACTACATGTGAATATTGCTACGTCAGTACAGTGGAGCTTAAATTCCCCTTACCAACTTTGAGTTCAGGTATATCTGGTTGGGATAGAATGAGTTTTGTTGAAAGAGGAGTATTTAAATGCATAGAAAGCCAGAAAAGGTTTATCCAGTTCTAACTGGTACTTTTTGTTTCCATCTGAAAAGCTCTCAGATTCTAAATTTCTGTCCTCTTTGAAATTATCAAAGAATGTCAAAGGAATTATTTTTAAATTCATCTTGATATCATGACTGTGAAAGAACTTAAGTGGAACCATTATCAATGGAAATGGAGTTTTCTATTCAGCAAGAGTTCAAAGCTCTAAATAATCATTAAACTTGGCAATGGGATAAACAAATAAAAAAACCCATATAGATCAAAACAAAGTGTAATGTATTAAACAAATTCTTTAAAAATAATTGTAGTCTCTGAAGCCAAGGTGACTACTAAACAAAAAAAAAATTGTGTTAGTCATACTCTAAAAAAAGTCTGCATCCATAAAATTCATTGCTGGAAAAGCAATTCTTAATATTGTCTTAATATGGGTGTGCTTTTTTTTTGTTTAAAAAAATAAGAAATTAAGCAGCATTCTAGATCGACAGAGTTAGGCTACACAAGGAAACAAATGGATATTTAAAAATTGACCAACGGTCTCAACGGTATCTCTGGCACTTGTAGTATGAGAGTATCTTTAAATTATTCCTCGGGAGCTAGACTCCTTGAATTATTGATGTGGAGACAGACCGAGGCTCTACAAAGGTTCAAATACGCTCTCTGTTCCTGTCTACATGGCGTTTCCACTTAGTGATTTCTTAGCTAGGATTCATTATAATTCTATAATTCTGAGATTCTCATTCCATAATTATCTTATGTTTTATATGTTCCTTTGTAAAAGTGATCAGTCGTTTTTCTATTGCTTATTCCAAAAAACATGTAGATATTTAGTGTATTTATTCTTAAATATTTGCTGCTACAATATTTATACACATTTGTGTTATGAAGATGATCTTATTGTATCTGATTGGCCTCAGTACTTACCTGTAGCCAGGAGATGGTGCATCTCTGTGAGGTCCCTTTTTTGAGAACTTCCAAAGAGGCAATCCATAAGACGGTAAGAGTAAAGGTTTGAGAATGACCATGCCTGGAAAAAGGGTGGAAGGTGAGGGTTAAGAGCGTGGGTTCTGGAATCAGACTGCCTGGGTTCAGTGCAAGTCAAGCTCTACCAATTATGTGTTGGATGATCCTGTGTCCATTACTTAAACTATTTCTATCTCCGTTCTCAAATACATATGGGAAATTAATAATAGTATCTAGCTTATAGAATGTCCATGAGATGACATACATAAAATTTAGAGCAATATATTTCTTGGCATACTTGCAGTCAGTCGCTATTATTACAGTAACTATTTCCATGGAAAGGTTCAAATTCCAGCTTTATCACATACCAATATGATTTCGTGTAATGCCTTAACCCTTCAGTTTGTCCATCTCTCAAAGAAGGATTATAAAATCTATCTCACAGGGTTGTCGTGGGAATTAATGGCATATCATAAAAAGTGCCTGAAGGAACTTAGAACTTGAAGTATGTAAGTGCGTAGTTGGTGTCTACACCCCATTATTCTAACTTGTTCAGCAGTTTATTCTGAGTCCTGACCAGTGATGCTTGGGAATCAGATTCAACTTGAGCTTTATGGGGGGAGGTGCACTGGCTTTGAGAGTCCTAGACAAAGTTTTATTAGAGCTGAGGAGACTCAGAGGGAAACCCCTTCCCCAAGCCAGCTTGTTCTAGTCTAGTGTATAAGTCAGGTGGCTAGCTGGAAAGATGGCAGGTGGCTAGACTGCTGGGAGAGGTAAATTTCTCATCTCCCATTGGAAGTTTTGTAAGAATTAACTGGTGATTTTCCAGAAAAGTGGTCCTGAAGATGTGCTCCAAGGACTACTGGGAGTCCTCGAGGGCCATTTGGGGGTCTGTGAACTCAAAAGCACTTTTATGATAATACAGGAGGCTACTGACTTTTCTCACTCTTCTTCTCTCATGAGTCTCCAGTGGAATTTTTCAGAGTCTACATGATGAGTGATGATGTCATTGTCCTCACAGCTCATGTAATGTCTGCTTATGTATTTCACATTTTAAAACGTTCCCAGCTTTAATTTATATTATGGTAAATACAGGAGTTCCCTCTGATCTAGGAGGGATATGGTCTAAGACCCACAATGGATGATGGAAACCTTGGGTAGTACCAAACCGCATATTTGCTATATTTTTCCTATACATACATGTGTACATGTAATAAAGTTTAATTTATAAATTAGACACAGCAAGAGATTAACAATAATAACTAATGATAAAGTAGAATAATTATAACAATATGCCAGCACCACTACTCTTGCACGTTGAAGCCATTATTAACTACAAGAAAGGTGACAAATACAAGCTTTGCAATATCACGACAGTCGATCTGATAACCCAGGTGGCTACTGAGTGCCTCAAGGGTGGGTCACATAGATAGTGTGGATATGCTGGACAAAGGCATGATTCATGTCCCGGGCAGGATGGGATGAGTCAGTGCAATATTTCATCATGCTACTCATAACAGTGGACAATGTCAAACATTTGAATTGTTTATTTATGGAATTTTTCATTCAGTATTTTGGGATCATGCTTGACCTCGTGTAAATGAAACTGTGGAAAGTGAAACTGAATAAGGGGACTTGCTGCATCAATAGACATAACTCACATAACAAAACAGCTCTCTGGGGTCCTTACTAATTTTTAAAGAAATAAACAGATCCTGAGACCAAAATGTTTGAGGTTCCCTAACCCTGGAAAAAGGGACCATCCTATCTGAGAATGAACCAGATTCTGTCTCTAGGTAGTTCATGTTAGAAACTGCCTAGAATACTCATCCGTTTCCCTGAATCTTTGCCTTCCCTTTTCCAAACTCTTCTGCAGCCCACCCTAGGCCTCTTGACACGTTTTCCTCCTACAGATGATAATACAGTTGATTGCTTTGTAGTTTCTTCTTCTTTTTTTTTTTTTTAAAACGAAACCGTGATCCAGAATGTAGTTTCTTTTGACTGCCATCATTTTTAGGCTTTCCTGAGACTCTGTCTGATTGTATTTCAGCTACATTCTGTAATTCCTGACCGGATTCTGGACACATCTTGTTTCTCTAATCATCACATTTATAGTCTACCTCTCAGGGCAGATCATTTGGTTCAGGTTTTCAAGGTTAGTGCCAGAGTGCATTCTTTTTCTGATTCAGTCTTTCAAATTTCAGGTCGTTTTAATAGCGCTCCTATCACTGCACTTATTGTGCCAAATATATAAAAAACAAAAGCTTAAAAGAAAAAAGCCATATGGAATTTGTTAAGAGTGTCCAAGTTAAATTTGGTGGCTGGTCTTTCCTATCCTGAACTGTTGTAATCATAAAAGTCTGGTAGGCTTATTCAGATACATGAAAGGACATCTGGAAAACAAAGCTGTGTGACTATTCATTTGAAGTGCTTATGAAAAGCTGTTAAAGTGAATAATTTGAAGAGCTTGGAAATGTATCAATACTGTATGAGGCAATCATGCAAATTAATAAGGGCCCAAGGTCCTGGGTCAAATTGGGTAAGGCCCAAAAGAAGTTTGACTTTGAACAAGTAAGAATGTTAATAAATCTTTAAAAATTATCTACATTTACTGACAACAGGCGCTTCCTTTTGTTAGATGTTTCTTTGCTTTTACCTACAATTAGAAAGACTAGTAATTAATAAGGAGGAGGGAGGGATGAATAGGCAGAGTATAGAGGATTTTTAGGGCTGTGGAACTACTCTGTATGATACTCTAATGGTGAATACATGACATTATATATTTTTCCAAATATACAGAATGAACAATACCAAGAATGGACCTTAGTATTGATTTGGGTGATAATGATGTGTTAATGTAGATTCTGGTAGGGGAGGTCGGTGGTGGTGGTGGTGGTGGTAGGGTTGGG